GGTAAAATTCAGTTAATGACGTAATCAAACAGACGATGAACACTATTAACAGCAATGATTATATGTTGCAATCAAACTTGTAGCAAAATTTGGTAGTTTATGTTGTTTCAGGGTTGGCCTATTCTGAGGTCCTCTGAGGGGTTTGCATCATCTCTTCTCAGGTGTTTGGTCATCTCAGGTCTTTGTAAGGGCTGGATCCAGCCTGGAGCTTGTGTAATTCCTAGTTACCATGGGATGTCAATCCCATGGCAGAAAAAGATAAACAAATAGAGACATAATTAGCGTAGCTGCTGTTCAGCGTGGTAGAAGGCTAGTTAGGTACGCAGGAGCTAAACCATTAAGAGCCTTGTAGGTAAGTAATAATATTTTGTAACTGATAGAGAATAGATAGCCAGTGCAGAGACTGTAAAATTGGGGTAATATGATCATATTTTCTAAGCTTGAAAGTTCCAGTTCAAATAGCTCAGTTCAGTTGTAAACAAATGGATAAGTGCATAGAAAACATCAAAATGTCTTCTTTTGTACTCCCTAGAAGACCAAAAGAAAGTCACACTAACTGGAAAAGATGAGAGGGTGAGTAAATGGTGAACATAATCCCAAGATTAATTCTACACATTAAATCTGAGTTTACTTTTAATATCTAGATCAGTCATGAAACTCTAGATGGCACAGGCTGATAGATTATGTAATCCGCAAACAAATGGCATCATCACAACATGACACAAGCTGTTTGCCCATGAGCTTACTGCTAAACATTTAAATAGTTTGGTTCTGTGTTTGCTGTAAGTCAGTCTTGCAGCGCAATATCAAAAACCCTCAACCTCCCCTAGCTCCACCCATATAGATCTGCTACAGATTTCATGTATGCTATAAGTGCAGCAACAGCATGTCTTACAGCAGTAAACTATCCTAAAAGCTGTGATGACTGAACGATTTATTTATTTATTTAATTAATTGATAACAGATAACCAAACTCAACTTACCTGTTGACATATTTGGATTTCAGAAACTAGAGTCCAGTTATTTTCTCCATCTGTTACCTAAGCAGACTTTGAGACAACGCCTTTTTTGGAAGAATATTTCTCCCCACATTTCTACACATTTAGGCTTAGCTACAAGACATACCCATAGGACCTCTGCTCTTCCACTTCTTTACAAACCACCGAAAAGCACCAAATATCTGATCACTGTTTGTGACAACTGCAGGTGGCAAATTTATAAACAATTTTACATTGTGCCATTTTCATACATCTTGCTTCTAGAGCATGTTTGATTTAGTTTACCCCAAAGTGTTAATTAATACATTAACTAACATGCAGGAACTAACATGTAATTAAGGTAGTGTTATTCATGCAGTAGTCCATATGACTCATGTCGTAGCTAAGTTAGTTCTTCATTAGTTCTTGATTAATACATATCTTAAATCATCATTAGTTCATAGTCAAGTAATTATTAATTCAGGTATTAGTACATGATAATTCATGTACTGTTATTGTAAAGTGTTACCGACATAATGAGCTGCCATGCTATTGTATACGCTGCCTACATAAGTATCTTAAGAAAACAACCTAACTGAAAGAAAACCTCATGATCGACTCAACAAAGACAGCAACTCATATAAATAGCATTCCTCTCATGTTGCTAAGCCAACAACATAAACTCTAATAAGCATACAAACACACTGCACACACAAATATTGGGTAAATAGTCCATTCTCCATACTCAACTAATCACAATATCTCATATAGTTGCATGCATCTCACTATGCAGGTCAACATCACTCCATCAGATATCTTCTTTGGTTTCTCTCAGCCTTGGGGCAAAGATATCCCATTTCTTTTGTCTCATATTGATTTTATGATCTTCTTAGTCAGGAACCTTTTGAGGGTATGAAAGGTCAAAGATCAGTCTTAATAATACATTACCACTCTACATTTCATGCACTGAAAGCAGTCATTTACCATGTCAGTGAACCATGTCAGCCTTCTCCAAATTCAATTGTGCTCTGAATTTTTCATTTTGAAGGTGAAGTGTGTAATTTTTCAATGTTTAAATTTGAATGACATACTAGCATACTACTTTTACTATGTCTGCCTGCTTGGTGATGCCAGCAATGTAGAAATTACACGCTACAAATGCAATCGTCACTTTCAAAATTCAACTAAATTGTTTGTCTAAAGGGTAACATTTTATAATAAAGCTCCATTTATTAACATTGGTTAGCTACATTAGTTTAACTAGGGTTAATTGTAAGATTTACAGAACCTCAGACACTTTCATCTTCTGAGACGGACAATACACACACAGTGCATTAACATACAGACATCTGTCTCCACATCCCACTGAGAGAAAATGCGGGAAAACGCCTCTCTCACATATGCATCAGTTATTTTTCATTCCCTTCCTTCCCCTTACCCATCCTCCCTCCACTTGGTTCACTCAGAATGGTCAATAGTATAATGTTCTACATTATTGCAAGTAATATTTACAGTCATGTTTGGTATCATTTGAATAGTCTCAGGGCGAGTGGTACAATGGTCTCAATTTTACAAAAGTAGACTAAAAGATAATGCAGATCTTAAGAGTTAAGAGATATTTTGATTACTGTAGAGGGTGTTTCATTCCATGCAAATTACCATCTGTCCCAAAAGGTGTCAATTTGGCTTCATCAATACTAATTCAAATTGTTAGTTCCTGTCTCCATTTCGGGGGATGTTTTGTCTTGGGCTGAGCACTTAAGGAAATCTTGCAAGAAGATCGGGGCGATTCTGTAGCCAGAAAGCCCATAGTGTGGTGTGTGTCTTTACACTCCATACTACAGTATGTATTTCAGGTCAGGTATGCATCTTCTACTCTTTGATTTATCTTTGAGAGTTTGATGTTTGTATTGATATGATTTGATATCTTTGAATTGGCTATGTAATTGGCATAATACATATTTATCTGACTATTAATAAATTGTTACATTTGATTTTATTCTGTTTTACTCTGTAATTATTGACTCTAGTAGGGTACGTTGTATCCTTGTTACCGCATTTCCTGCGTCAGGTTAGTAACGGACTAAAATTCAGTTGAGATGGAGCATAGGGCACACCAACTGTATCTTTAGAGATCTGGCTAACACTTGGTATTAGTTCAAGTGTACTTAGATTGTAAGGGCTTATAGGGAATTTCCGTTTAGGTCAACTGGATGTTGTTCGACCCGCCTAAATAGGGTGAGCCTAACCTCTGTTTATAGTAATATTATTCTAGCTAAGTGTACATGTGGAGACCATGGCATGACCATACCAAAGCTACTATCAGAGAAAGTAATGTTGGTCGGCTTATATCTATAGTAGTGGTCATGACCTCTGACTAGAAATAATGCTGCTTTATTCAAGTGTGTACAAATCTATGGGGGCTAATTAAAAGTACTTTTAGAATGAGCAAGCATAGGAGTGGCCATCTAAAGTATTAGCCAATTACCTAACCAAGACTGACGTGAATGTGACCGTAAGATGCGCTAACGGCCGAAGCGATATATTTGAGCGACATGAGCACCCGAATGAACGAGTACAATGATATTAAAGAATAAATATAATAATCTGATGTCTAGATAAATTATCCTATAAATGATCAATAATAATTGACATTCTAACTCAAATGCGAGGTCATAATAAAATGGAGTCAGATTAGATAATAAAATGGAGTCAGATTTGAATTTAACCTAAATTTAATAACTTTGCACACTGAAATGACCGAACATGCAGGAAACATTCATCCACCATTGGATACCTCCGTTGGGCCAATCGTGTGGACCTTACATAATAAATGCCGTAGAAGCATTATTGTTAGTTAATGTTAACTACAACATTAGTTTTTATTGGTTTCCATTAGTTAAAGGGTTAATTCACCCAAAAATGAAAATTAGTCCATAAATTATTCACCCTTAAAGGAACACTCCACTATTTTTGAAAATAGGCTAATTTTTCAACTCCCCTAGAGTTAAACAGTTGAGTTTTACTGTTTTCGAATCCATTCAGCTGATCTCCGGGTCTGGCGGTAGCACTTTTAGCTGTAGCTTAGCATAGATAATTGAATCTGATTAGACCGTTAGCATCTCGCTCAAAAATGACCAAAGAGTTTCGATATTTTTCCTATTTAAAACTTGACTCTTCTGTAGTTACGACGGACAATGAAAAATTGCGATTTTCTAGGCCGATATGGCTAGGAACTATACTCTCATTCCGGCGTAATAATCAAGGAACTTTGCTAGCCATATCGGCAGTGAGCAAGCTAGCTTAAATTGATTATTACGTTTTAAATATGGTTATTTTTCTTACGAAAACACATCGATTCGCTACAGGAGGACTTTGTTCACCCCCCGGAGCTGTGTGAGACACTTTTTATTAAGGATGGGCGCTTTTTATTTAACTTCTTTTGGACTGATGCACTGCAACACCCGCTGAGTGCCATTAAACAGCTTGAAAGATCAAAGACAATTTTTAATATA